TACGACAGGTGGGATAATGACGAGAACAAGGCCTTCATGGATAATCTTGGAGACCTTGTCCGTCTCTCACTTGCCGTCAACAAGGCATATGGTACAGAAAGGCGCACAAAAGACGACGTCGTACAAAAGATGATCGTGCGTCTGGGTGCTCATAGAGCGAACCCAATGTGCGCTTTTCTGTGGAGTGTGTTCATCGGGCAGGTGGACTTCACCTACGAAAAAATGCGCCGTATGGCCGCCCGCATTATTGCGGAGCTCGGTGACGGTACGCATGGTCCATCTGACCCGCACACCCTGTCCGGATACAATACAGGACAGGGAGCATCAACTGTGGCATCACTGCCCCTTGCTGGTGCCGCCCAAGAGCGCTTGCAGCTATTCTGCCGTCTCTGCTCGACACGACGAGAACGTCCACTGTTCAATCACACGACAGATGAATGTCGAGTGCTCGGCCGTATGTTGCAAGAGATGCGAGAGAGTGACGATGGATCTGAGCTCGACGAATGAGGCTCTACAAGACAAAAGCGCACTAGCTGGCCACCCAAGAGCTCACCAAGACAGAGGGGGCTGATGGAAGTGACGCTGCGTGTATGTATACATATGGACGTCATGTACGTCTGTGTATGTACAGAAGTATTTTTCTCTCTGTCTTCTCGTCACTCACTCAGTGCTATCTTGCCGTCAGTTGGTCGATTGGTCTGCCGGCTGGTTGATCGATGGATGACAGGTGTGCATTGATTGATGAGGGCTGAGAAAGAACTGACTGAGAGAAAAGTGATCTGCTGCTGATCGATTCCATGAGTAATTGGTCTGCATGCAGTCATAATTTTGATCAAGGAACACTTTGACAGTGCGTGTGAGAGGGAAAGGACTTAGAGAGTGATGTGATTGCTCAGATGCAGTCAAAGAGCATGTGCCATGGCTGCACCAAGTGATTCGTCACCTCTATTTCAAAGTCCAGATGTCCCTCACGCAAAATCAAACATGTACAGCATTGAGTCACGGACCAGCGCACGGTGGAGTGTCGCATGCATACACAAAATGCATTGATGATGCTCTGCGTCCTAAGTGGGTTCATCGAAAACCTAGCCTGACTCTCAATTGCTGGCTCACTCCTTGGGCATTGAGCTCAGAGGGGGCATTAGGCAAAGCAATAACAGCACAGCGCACAAAAAGCGCAGCTGGCCTGATGCGGTCTCAGCTTGTCTAGACACATGTGTGTGTTCGCTCGCTGCACTAAAGACAGACAGCTAGGTCGAGCCGCACACCAAAAAGACATCACAGATGTCTAACAAAACAAATGTGGTTGACTTACCCATTGCATGCCGATGTCACTGTGTGTTTATAGACACACAAGGCACAGAGCGATGCAATGGTAAGAGCAAGGGATGACTGAGATAGCCCTCAGAATCGCCACAGACACAGAGAGGTACTGTGTGAGGCAAGAGCCACCTATCTAGAAGGTAGGAAGATTGAGAGCAGCCATGTGTGCACGGACATCACGACTCGCGAGAACTGTACACCCTCACGTGGCCGTGAATATCCGTATGGCCTGCAGTCTCTCTTGTGGTTCGAGAAACTGGCTCAGACCAGTTCTCATGCAGGGCTGTTCTATCTGACTCAGTAAGCTGGCATGGATGTTTGCCACGTCATGTGCTTCTAAGTGCCTCGCTCACCTATACGGTCAAGAGGGGGAGAAAGGTAAGCCAACACAGGTAAGCAAAGCCCACCGTCGGTGACCGTATAGGGAAGGAAAAGAGCGAAAAAGGGGCACACAAAAAGCGCCATCGACCATCAGGTAAGTAGCTGATGTCTGTGAAAGCAGAGCGGCCCAAGAATGGTCAGCTCAAGCTGCAGACATACCAGCAGCATTGTCTTCAGGATGCTTCCGTGGCGCTTCGTCACAAGCCCTGAAGCCAACAAATGAAGCAAAGACAACTGACACATGCTTACATGTGTGCGTATCTTCTGCTGCAGCCGAGTCTGGACCTAGAAAAGGCACAGGCAGGCAGGACAGGCAGACAGATGAGGCAGACAGCCAGCCAGAATAGCAGAAAAACACACTTACATGTTCATGATATGCATGTGAGTGCCGTGCCAAGCCGTGTGGTGATGCGGAGGTGGTAGCAAGAGCACGAGATGCCTCCCATCTCTCCAAGCGTCATCCGCATGGCTTGACGAGCTGTTGTGAGCTGACAAACAGCCGAAAAAGCACCTCGTCTTTTTCTTTCTCGGTGATCTCGCTGACCGCCAACACCTTCATGATGAGCGCTCGACAGCAACGCGAAAGGACAAGCTGACGAGCGAGAGGGGGAGTTAGAGCGATAAGGAGTTACACGCACAAGATCTACGAGACATGAGTATGAGATGCTTGTAGACCCAAGCTTGCGTGTCCATGAGACCTCTGTCGTCACTGAATGCTTCTTCTGGCTTCGTCACATTCCTACTCGCTACCCCGAGCTACTGCTGATTCTCCAACTGTTTCTGGGTTTGCAACCCTGGCGCACACATCAGCTTTTGCTATCGTTTCGACCTGCCATCATCCCCTCTCGGCACCCTCGTCGCCCCTCTGACCCGCATCTGCCAATCCGTTGCTTCCCCCTCTCGTCCCTTGCGTCTTCTCCCCTCTCTATCGGCCTCCATCTCTTCTCCGCTCCCCCATTCTTCGCTGATGACCGAGAGGCCCGCTTCCCCCCGGAACGCTCCCTCTGAGGGTCCTTCAAGCTTTGTCCAGTTCGTTTTCGCTTACCCAGACGGCTGGGTCCACGAAGGCCAGTTCAAGGACGGCAAAGAGGGACAGGGGAGGCTGACTTCGCCCGACGGCAGGGTCTACGAAGGCCAGTTCAAGGATGGCAAGCCGAATGGAGAAGGGAAGGACACTGGGCCGGACGGTGTTGTCTACGAAGGCCAGTGGAAGAATGGCAAGCGCGAGGGACAGGGGAAGATGACTCGGCCGGACAATAGTTTCTATGAAGGCCAGTGGAAGGACAGCAAGCCTGATGGAGATGGGAAGGAGTTTCTGCCGGACGTCTGGGTCTACAAAGGCCAGTGGAAGAATGGCAAGCGCGAGGGACAGGGGAAGCTGATTTGGCCGGACGGCAGGGTCTACCAAGGCCAGTTCAAGGACGGCAAGTTTGAGGGACAGGGGAAGATGACTTGGCCGGACCGCTGGGTCTACGATGGGCAGTTCAAGGACGGCAAGCCTGACGGAGAGGGGAAGGAGACTGGGCCGGATGGCAAGGTCTGGGACGGCCAGTGGAAGAACGGCGAATCTAGCAAAAGCAAAGGACAAGGGAAGCTGACTTTGCCGGACGGTAAGGTTTATGAAGGCTGGGTGAAGGATGGCAAGCTCGAGGGGCAAGGGAAGCTGACTTCGCCGGACGGCTTTGTCTACGAAGGCCAGTTCAAGGACGGCAAGTATGATGGAGAGGGGAAGTTGACTTCGCCGGACGGCTGTGTCTACGAGGGCCAGTTTAAGGGCGGTAAGAATGATGGACAGGGGAAGCTGACTTCACCGTATGGCTTGCTCTACGAAGGTCAGTGGAAGAACGGTCTTCCACGACCGGTGTGAGGGGGTAGGGAGAGATGACTTAGCTGAGTGGCAGTATCTATCGAGGATTGTGGAAGGACGATGAGCCAGATGTGTGTTGGTATACAAGTAGAAGCGAGGTCTATATTTGAAATGAGCGTTGAAGTGGGTGTGGGTGTGATTTTGGGTTTATCTGCCTGCCTATTGTTACACCGACTGATGCGTGCTTGCTTTAAGTTGCCTGCCTTGTGTATGCGTGTGTGTGTTCTCCTTACCTGCCTCTATGTGTGACTTTTGCGTGCGTACGTACCAAGCGAGTGCTTTGAAGATGTGTATCTCTATGTCGTGCCACTGCGGTGTCTGCCTGCCTGCCTGCCTGCCTGCCTGTGAGGGTATGTCATGCAGAATGGCAGGACGGACTGATACGTGTGTGTGTGTGTGCCGTGCATTCCTGCCTCTCTGTCTGTCTATCTGTCTGATGCGTGTATCTTGACCCACTGACGATGCGTGTGGCGATGTGTAAGGTCTAAAGGCCGAAGCCTCATTCATGCGTGGAGTCAGCGCTCTATGGTTGAACACTAGAAAAAACAGTACGGAACAATGTACGTGTGCAGCCCTTTTGCTCCTGTAGCTAGCGGTAATGCAGCCGTTGCAATAATAGGCAGATGTCAACACTCTGGTATGCATGAAAAAAGACTCGAGGACCATGTTGCTTCAGTTCTCATGTGTTGAAAGCGGAAACCTTTCTTATGCTCATACCTCTCACTTTGATACATCTCGGTGTCGGGTAGGATTGTTTTCGAACAGGCATGCTTTCTTCTTTGAAAGGGTCGGCACGTGGATCTTCAGGCGTGTGAACGACCGCCAATCTGGATGAAACCAGCGAAGATTGATATCTTCACCTGTCACAAGTATGTAAACGCATGGCTAATTGATGTTTAGCAGCACTTGCAATGTCAGTGTCACATCGTCGATCGTTATCTCAGTCGCCTGTTCGTTGTGTAATGAAGTATCGTCTTGCGCAAAGCAGGAATCACGCCAGCTACCTGCCTCAGAGCTCTGAGTCGTGCGGCACGCACAAATAGAGGGTCTGACCGCCTGCGTATCTTCGTGTCTCCGTTTGGTAATAGAAGTGCAGCACACGCTTGAGAGAGAGAGCATGTAAGAGATAGATTGTCGTGTGCGCACACCTGCGCATGTACGTGTGGACTTGGAGTTTCTGTACACGATGAATGTCTGTGTGCGCACACCTGCGCATGCACGTGTCAAGTTGGTGTGTGTGCATATGATGAATGTCTGTATCCGCACCCCTGCGCATGCACGTGTCGACTTGGAGTGTGTGTATATGATGAATGTATGTGTGCGCACCCTTGCGCATGCACGCGTCGACTCGGTGTGTATCTATTAATGTGTGCGCACCCATGCGCATGCATGTTTGGATTTGGAGTCTGTGTGTATGATGAATGTCTGTGTGCGCACATCTGAGTGTCTGTGTGCACACACCTGCGCATGCATGTTTGGACTTGGATTGCGTGTATATGATGAATGTCTGTGTGCGCACACCTGCGCATGCATGTTTAGACTTGAAGTTTAGACTTGAAGTCTGTGTATATGATGAGTGTCTGTGTGCGCACACGTGCGCATGCACGTGTCGATTTGGAGTGTGTGTATGTGACCAATGTTTGTATGCGCACACCTGCGCATGCACGTGTCGACTTTGCACGTGTCGACTTGAAGTATGTGTATGTGACCAATGTTTGTGTGCGCACACTTGCGCATGCACGTGTCGACTTGGAGTGTGCGCGTATGATGAATGCCTGTGTGCGCGCACCTGCGCATGGTCACATACACACACTCCAAGTCCACACGTGCATGCGCAGAGATGCGCACGCAGACATTCATCGTATATACACACTTGAAGTCGACACGTGGACACGTGGATGCGCAGGGGTGCGCACACAGACATTGGTCACATACACATACTCCAAGTCGACACGTGCATGCGCAGGGGTGCGCACATAGACATACACACACTCCACGTGTCGTTCTCGCCGAGAGCTCTCCTTGCTTCACAAGACGTTCCCCTCCCTGGAGCTTGATCTCTTCCAATGACGGCTTGAGCACGTCTTCAAGCGGTCCCTCACCATTTGGGGCGAAGACATGCAGGCCGCGAGGAGGGAATTCCCTGGCCTCGGCGAGGATACCGTCCCACTCGCCGGTCCAGAAACGCCGGAAGCGCGCATTTCACTGGCGGTGGCCTCCCCTCCCGCCCCGGTTAATCGGAAACAGAGGCATAGTCGGCAGAAATGTAGCAACGCGACAACCGACATCGGAATCTTCCGGGTTCTTGACGTACTTCTCACCTGTGTCGACCACCAGCTTGTATGCATGGCGGACACACCCAGGCATTCGCGCGATTGTCCTGATTTCCAGCTTGAAGTGATCAGCACGCTGCTGAGCAGTGAGGCCGCAGAGATGGTCGAGTCCACGTTGCGGGAAGACACCTCTCGACCGAAACCAACGAGCGTCTGGGGCGGGCGGGTCAGGCGGTGGGTCCGGGGGAGGAGGAGGCGCTCCGCCGTCCGGGAGAGGGTTGCCGCCCCCTACATCGCTTCCTGGACCATCCGGCGGGGGAGGGGGCGGGTGCGGAAGATGGGCACCAGCCCCGCCCCGAGCACCTCTGGCATCGCGAGCCCCCCTACCTCTTCCTCAGCCACGGCCCTATCACGAACACGACCGGCAGGTGCCGCGGGCGCAGGAGTCGTGGCCTTATCCCGGCCGTCCCCGCCCCGCCCACTCGGGGGCTGCTCGGTCATGTCTCGAGCAGTGGGTGGGCTCTCTGTCGTGTCTCCGGCCGTCGAGGGCGGTGGTGGTGGGCGGCAGAGGAGGCGACGCGGGTGGAGGCGGGGGCTGGGAGCTTCCCGATGGATCGGGACGCGTTGGGGGCGGGGGAGGCGGGGAGACTGAGGCTCCGTCTGTCGTCGCCGCAATTCACGAGCGCGGCGTCCCCGCCCGCGAAGCTGCCCGGTGTTCCACCGAAGCAGCGCCCGCCACAAAAAGTACTGCAAACCATGCATCGACCAAACCCTCGATTCCTCGACGATGGCCGGCGGCGGTCCGATGGAGGTTGAGAAGAGGGCGCAGGGTTCTCGGAACCATCACTCCACGCCGCAAGGATGTCCCTCCGATCGTGAAGCCCCTCAGGCGGGTTCACGTTGTCCGGGTCATACCCCATATGTGAGGCCATGTCAGCCAGGGCGGCCAAACGGCCGGGGGGGAAGCGAAAGGATCCGGGCTGACGGGCCAGCGCCAGAGGGGCCGCGGCGCTTGCGGGAAATCAACTCGTCCAAAGTAGGAGCAGGGCACCGATCAGTCATCGCAATCCTCGCAAAGAGAGGCTGGCTCACGGTCGTCCACAATATCCATCCAACCGCGCCCATCTGCTGTCTCCCCCAGGTCAGCTGCCAGGGTAGCATCACGGTCGATATATGCTGATCCATTCGACGCCTCCTCCACTGCGCCAGCGCGAGACGAGCCTTCATCATCAGAGTCCGTCACGCATGCATCCCTCTCCTCCTCAACGCCCTCCTCCCCTTCCCGTGTTCCACCACCATGCATAACACGTAAGGGTAAGACGTACAGGTTGTCACATCGGGTCACTGGCATGTCTAAGCACTCAGTGTCCTGTTGCAGGCCCTTTACGCCCTCGACAGGCACATGGATGGCTCTCAACTCGCCGAAGCTAACCGAACAACCGCTGTCTTCAAACTCAGCGACCGACAGCAGATTATTCTTCAGCCTTGGCGCGAGAAGACACCCATCTAGCACAACAACACGCAGGCGTCCATCACGGGTCATGATCGGCAGTGCGACCGTTCCCTCACCTTTGATGGGTACCATGCTGCCGTCGGCAACCCGTAACGAACCTCTACGAGGTGTCCATCTGACAAACAGGTCAGCACAGCAGAAGACATGCTTTGTGCAGCCTGAGTCGAGCAGTGCACATGTACACACATCATTCAGTGCGTCACATACACGCTCACTAACACATCCGTCCATAGCAGACGAGTGTGCTACTACAACCACAAACGCACCAGCCACATCTCTGTGCTGTGTGTCTGCAGGTTGTGCATTTTATCTATTTGCAAACAGAGCTGCTACCTCTGCACTTCACTCGCTAAGCAAAGAGCACTGACTGCCCTCCCTCTGCTTATCTGTGTGTTCACGTACTTGCTGTGCAAGCAGATGCTTGACGGTATCGCGCTTCGGGCAGTTGCGGCAGAGGTGCTCGGTGCTTTCGCAGATCCAGCACTTGCGGCACTTGCCCTTCTTGCCCTTGCCGGCCTTGCCGCCGTTGCCCGATGGTGCGTCCTTCGACGCCTTCATCTGCTTGCTCTTGAAGCTCACGCCGGTCTGCACCGTCGGCTGCGCCGCCGGCTGCCCGCTCGGGGCCTTCTTGCCCTTCTTCTTCCTCTTGATGAGCGTCACGTGCTGTGCCGCTACCACCCCGCCCGTCGCGGCCGCCGCATTTCTCGACGTACTGCTCTGGCCCTGCTACTGTGCAGCCGACCCGGTGAAATCGGCCCACTGGCGGCACACGCGGCTGAGGGTTCCGAAGTTGTACTTGGCGGATGGGTCGATGACCACCGCCTCGCGCACACGGCCGAACGACGCGGGCAGCTTGTTGACGAAGAACTCGACCATCTCTAGGTCGTCGATCAGGTGCACTCCTTGCAGTTGACGCAGCTCGTTCGCACGCTGCACCACATGCATAAAGTCCGTCACCGCCGTCTCGAAGTTCCACGTCAGGTCACACTGCCAGTTCACCACCCGCGCGAAGGCATCCGACCAGGCGCCAGGACGCGTTGGCTGAAACGACTCCATTAGCGCGTCCCAGGCCGCCGCACCGTCGCCCGCCGGCACTTGCTGGATGACAGCCAGCGCCTGGGCATTGGCCAGCTGCCCAGAGTTGGGCATCAGCGAATCTAGCAACGCCGCGTGCAGATGGGCATTGTCAGCCTCGTACTGCACTGTGCCGTGGATGGCTCGCCCCTGGTCACGGCCGTTCTTGTTGAGCAGGTAGGAAATCTTGGCCGCGTAGCACTTGCCCTGCACCTCAAACGCGAACGTGGGAAAGCCAGCTTGGCCGCCAGAGAGAGCATGAAGCTTGAGCTTCTTACGCTCCAGCACCAACTCCGCTGCTTTCTTCGACACCACGCCCGGCAGGGTCAGGTTGTTAGCCGTATGACCGGCCTGCTGCTGCGGCGCATGCTGGTTGACGTAGGCACTGAGGGAGGCCTGGTGCACCGCCGTGTCGGCAGCAGCACGCTCCTCCTCCTGCACCCCCATCTCCGCATCGCCGTCTCCAGAGACGTTGCCGTCACCTTGGCCTTGCTGGCCAGCCTCACCGCCATTCGGTGCTGCTCCAGCGTTTCCGTCGTTGCTTGGCTGGATCTGCCCAGATCCCTGAACGCCTCCGACGCTGTCGCCTTGTCCGCCCATCTAGACATCCCCCTGGGCAGGAGGGGTACCTTCAGCGGCAGCGGCTGGAGCATCCATGGCTCAGATCTGGCTGAGATCTATCGCTTGTGTGCCGTCTCCCCGCAGGAGTAGCCAAGTGGGCTAAATAACCAGTTGCGTAACGCAGTGGTCAAGCGAGATATCGGCTAAGCACACCAAGCACAAGGGGCCTTCACGGAACACGCACGAGACTGAAGCGGCCTCCGGCGGCAAGCTCAAAGTCGAACATCTCCACGGCTTCCAGCTGTTCGATGAGTTGAATAAGTTCGATGAGAACGATGAAACTCATCAAACAAGGTTGCGGGAAAGGAAAGGTGTGCGTCGTCAACGAGATAGTCATGGGCATCGCCCTCAACGACAAGGCCAAAGGCACATGTCAGACAGCCAATGACGCCAAGAGGAACTGCAAGAAGGACCCCGGAATCATGACGGTCACATACGGCGGTTCCTTCTGCATGGCGCCGGCCGATCGTGTCGTAAACAGAGAGGCAAACTCATGACTCCTGCCCTTGTCTCGTGTTGCTGTGACCTATGCATTTCGTCGTCCAGAAGTTCACCTCTTCGAGTTCTTCGCAATCCATAGCAAGGTTTGCCGGCAGCGACTTCGAGAGCATCAAATTCCCAGTCTCCTCGGCCAGAAGCAAGCATTTTGCCAAGCAATCCCCTGTGCCCTCTGTCATCAAGATCTTCCCGGGGCATGACCAATGGCTCTCGACAGGTATGACGAATGAGACACACAAGCTCATGCATGGATCATGCTGACCTGTGTCTCTCATCTTGTATGCACGCAGCTGCCGTCAAGGCTGGAAAACGAGGGCAAGAACAAGAGCTGCAAACTCGTACCTTCTGAGAGCTCACACGCATTCACCAAAAGACCCCCCCCC